GCGGATCGCCTACGTACCTACACGCAAAAATGCGCTGAACCACAAACGCATAGCTAACGACATCTAGCGATATGTTAGCCCAAAATCCTACAAAGGGGAAGGGTAGGGTGCCCCTTTCGGGGGTAGCGCGAACTGCGCTCGGCCCGAAACCTCGGGCACGCCCCACAAGGCGCCGGCACCTACCAAAGCGCCAAATCAAACAGCTGCTCAGGCGCCCTGTGATGCGCAAAATCGATGTCCACGGTGGCCTCACGGAGCACCCGCATGACCTCGTCGACTGGTGCTTTCATTCGCGTCCATCCTTCGACGCGCGCCCTGGAGTCGTCGCCCCTTGACGCGGCGTCATGTTTCTTTCATGCACGCGCGTCCGTTGTGTCAAAGGTCACGCGCGCACCCTCTCTCGCGGAAAAAGGCTCGCAAAAGCAAGCTGCCATGTCCCGACGTCGAAGCGCTCAGCAAGACATGTTCCGGCAAAGCATAAGATTTACGATGGCTTTGGGTTTCTCGCTCTTACTAACCAAGACAAGCGACATGCTGCACACACAGCAACAACTAAACGGAATGAAAATGATGTCGACTACCCAACATTAAAATATTTTACACCGGTAGCCCACCCGGTTTAATTCTCAGCTGTACAACCAGCGAAGGTGAGCAGACCTCAGACCTTGCACGCTTCAAGGCCTTAACCGGCTTAACCGCTGTGCACATGGGTTGTGAGCATGTACAAAAAGCGTCTGCTGCAAGACCTTCAGCAGAGCAACCTCAAGTAAAACATAGTAAAACTGCATCGAACTCGACTACCTTACTCTAAACTACTAGACACTAGCAACCCACTCGATGAAGTACTGAGCTGTAGTACACCTAGCCAGGGGGAAAACACCTCAGATCAGGCTCGCAATAGAGACCCAACCGCTCTACACATGGGCTGCAGGCAGGCAGAGACAACGTTTGCTGCAAGAACTTCTGTTGGCATGAACACCGGCCATACACTGGAAGCACGCAACTTTACAACTAGCGAACAACTAGCGAAAGAGCTAGCTTTTAACTGCACACCTCTTGCAAAGGGGAGGAGGCCTCAGACCCTGCTCAACAGACATTCTCACTCCACCTCAGTGCGTCAGGAACACGGCGGTTTGTGATATAGCACGAAGATTTTCACGAGGATGTCTCAGAAACTACTAGGCGTTAAAGGCACTGCAACCGAAAACTTCAAAATGCAGAAAAGAGAAGGGATCGCCATAAAGCTGCAACTGTGTCTGCCATAGCATTTATGGGTCCCACAAAAATCTTCAAGTACTCTGTGCTTTCGTTCATGCCAGCCGTCTGATTGTCACAAGAAGGTTGCCGTCTCGGGTTAAGACCCCATGTACTGAAATAGAGAAGCCATAACCAACCACACCATCAAAAAAAAATGTCATCCAACAAATGCAACAAAGTATAGTGCACCGCTTGGCGATCGCATACTGGGAAACACTCTTCTCCGCTCCAACACACCTTCAAAGTGGGGCACCATAGATATGCGGGCGGGAACCACCTGACCTCAGGAGTAGCCTGCATCAGCCACTTGCTCACACTCCATCCGTATAGGTGCACGTCACTCTAGGGCCTCTAGGCACCATTGCTTTAGGCAACGTAGCCACCCATTAGCTCATCGTCCAGCCGTCAGTATAGACTAAACCTGCGCGGGAATCCTCAAGAACTCTACAGAAACAACCCTGGACCCTATAACCCCTGGACCCGACCCTAAACCCGAAACCCTAAAGCCTTGATTTTCAAAACCCTAGACTGGGTTCCCCAGGAAGGAAAGCGTTGTCCAAGAAGGTGTAGCATCAGTAAATGAGAACAGAGAAACCACATCGTTAGCACTCGCAGCACCCTCTACGGTGTAAGACCACGAGGCCAAGAAGCACCAGTTTTAATTTGTTCACCAATAATAAACGCTCACTCGAAACATTGATGACCACAAGACTTCAACTGAAACTGCTGCACATACTTCCCAAACTCAAAATCAAAGACGGCGTAGAAAAGCCAATTGGAATTCCATCCTGGCCACTCCTTGGGTAATGGCCAGCTCATGCAGCTTCCCCTGGCGAGGCCCTGCATGTTGCCGCCCACTCACTTCTCCACCCGATAAAACAAAGGTTGAGTTTGTCAGCTTGGATCCCCCCACCACCGTGGGTGTGGTAGGAACCCTTACCTCCGTGCGATCGACAATGATGTGAAGTGGTAGCTCGAGGTAGGCAGTGAGCAGGCGCAAGCCAAGAGTGGTGACCACTTGCCTGAACCCAGTGGCGAAGCTGTATATGTGCAAGATGATGCTGAGTCGAAAAAAGCTCGTGGCTCTGCAAATTTGCTCTTGCCTCCATCCGTGCTCTGGTCGGCCGCCCCTTACCCCTCTCCCTGCCTCCGCCCCTCCTTCCCGTCTCCCTGACACCCACGAACGAACCTAACGGAGCTCGAGGCAGCTCTCGCGCGAGCGGTTAAAGGTTAAATCCGCCAAGGCCGTGCTTTCTACTATTTTCGCCTTTTTTTTGCTCCTTCCACCCTGCCCCTCCCCCCGCGCCCACACCCGTCCCCGGCGAGCTTGCCCCGTGCCCCTTCCCCCCCTTCCCGCCCTTCATCCCCTCGGTGCAGCTGAGCTTTCTTTGCGGCAGCACAACTTATCATCTTGCCGGCTCGGTGCAGCTAAGCCTTCGACGCACCACCCCTCGCCCCTCTCCCGTCCGCTTCCCCTCCCCTTCCCCTCCTTGCAAGCCGAGGTGTGACGTACCAGTAGCAAGATTGTTCGTGGTGGTTCTTGTCCTTCTCAAAATCACGAATGCATGTCTGTAAACAAAAACGCCATGGCAAGACAGAATGCCGTAGCCGCTGCATGTAGCTCATGTTCTCCTCTGTACCGTGCCTCGTGCTCGCCATTTTCAGCATTGCAACAGTGTTCAAGGCCTGTGGGCGCGCCATCCTGTCCTCTTTCTGGGAAATCTCTGTCACCACGGCTCTGGCATTGTCTTGAATCAGGTTCATGAACATACTGGCTATGGGCATATCGAAGACCTGTCCACGATCCCACTGCAAATCCAGGTCTCTGCCGGCCTTCAAAATTGCAACATCAATCGTGTAGTAGCTTTCTGGCTGGAAGGAATTGATTTCGTCACTGCGTCGAACGCAAAACCAAAGAGTCGGCGTCTGGCATGGACCATATGAGACCAGATTGGTGTCAAGATCGCCGTACTTGCCTTGGAAATATTTGGTCTGGAAACGGGTGAAGGCGCAACCGAGCTTCAAGTCCATCTCCTCGGCACAGCACCACGACGGACCCCGACCAAGCTGCAAAGTGGACTAGCCAGGCAGCCATCAAAGCCTTTTGCAGTATCGGGAACTTTAAATGCCGAGTTTCCGCGCGAGCATCGACTGAATCTGACATGTCTTTGTTGGGAGACCCCAGGCTCGCCATTGCCCGTTTAAGGTCCACGGGAGCCAATGACGAGAACTGAGCTCGCCAAACTTGCTGCTGGCCACCGGCAGAAGACAAATATGGCACGGCATTGTCCATCACCTGAGCCGGGAAGGGGTTTTTGGCATGGAGTCCGGCATGCCAAACCCCCAACCTCATAGCAGATGTTCTCCCCTTCTCGATCGCAGTCCAACCACAGCACCAGGTATGCACACCCTTTCGCCTGACGGGCAGGATTGGCTGTTGACTGACTTGGCTCTTAGGGTCTGCGATACAGGTGCTACATGGTGCTACGGTAGAGTTGCGCCAGGATTGGCTCACGATGCTTCTCGACTTCAGGTCGATGTGACACAGAGACAGTGGAATTGAAAAGCGAGAAAGAGCTGCTGGCGTTAACTTTCGAAACTGGGTTTCGAGCGATGTTGACTGTTCTGTTTTCTTGCGGCAGCTAAGAACTAAGCGAGCAGCCTCCGTCTGGAAGTGCTTCGGCATCCTGCAGCAAGTTGAAGAGTAAGTAAGCTATCCATGCCTGCTTTTCCTGCACAAGATGCAGTCCAGTCCTCAATTTGGGATTCGCTTCCATCTTGACAGTTGGGGCACCAAACAGGGTCAAAGGATCCACCCTGTCCCAGTTGTTGTATTCTGGTGGGAAATCAATGGAATACACATGACCTCAACCGGCGAAGAGCCAAATCGCATCCAACTGGGCAAGTGTATTCCACAGCTTGGCTCTCAGGCTGCCGCCGGCACAGCTTGTGACTTTGAACCAAGCACGCTGTCCATAGAAGTCCCCCTCGTACTCAAAGACTTTGCAGGCCGGTGACACCTCAAGACATGAAAGCCTGCCCAACACCCTGACTCGCCGTTGGAACGCCCGTGGAATACTCCCAAAATCTCCCAAAGCTGCACGTGCACACTCAACATCTGGAATCAAGCCCTGGCACTCCCCAAAGGCGGAAAGCAGGGCCCTCTCTACAACACAAAAAGCTCTGAAACCATGCAGTTCCCAACTCGCATCATTCCTTTAGGCACGGTATCTCTGCCAAGACACCCCTGTGCGAGTGGTGTATTTATGTCCAGGTGAAAGCGCATCGGCCAGCGTCTGTGCAATGGAGGGCTTCTCAGCGACCATTAAAACCTCGGCAGCGGAAGCTTTCAAATCAAGTCGGCCAAAGATTAGCTGCACAGCTTGCAGCAGCTTGCTGCCAAGCGACAGTCACCACCATGACGATCACAGGGTCTTGCGCCTCGTCCTCGTCTCTTCAGTGCTCAACCCATTGTCATTGTCACATCTTGAGCCAAAGTGTCTGCCGCGAAATGCCCAGACCTTAATCCACCGGTGGACATCCCACATCTGTTGCGTGCAAACCTTCCAACCAAACCGATAAATCGGACAAAACGAAACAACGCCCCACGAGAAGACGTCCCTGTGAGCCCGCAATCCTGCCAGCTTAAATCCGCCGGTCAGATTGGACGTTAAGGCCGGTCGAGGCTGCGAGGAGAACAAGTGGGAACAATAACGTCATTGCTTTTTTTACGCCAGACCTGCCTAACTCTTGTACAGCTGCAACACTGCCACTTGCTGTACCATGCGAAACTCGGGCATTATCCAGTCAGGTGGTGCCTGGTGAACTGTCCAACCTCCGAGTCGTGAGACGTTGTCATGAAAGCGTTGCAGCTCGCCGGTGCGGTCCTTGAGTGCCAAGAGGACTGTTGTGTCAGCATTTGCGAGTGCAGACAGTAGAGAAATCAGAGTTTGATCCGCAGGGGGCATCTGAACGTTTGAATCCACGCACTTTCTGCCAGCATTGCCAGGGTAAACCAAATCGCTTCCAACGATGGCACCCCAGGGTCCTGCCGCCTGAATCTTGGCAAGATCTTCAGCAGAATTCCAATCGAATTGCTCAACAACTACGCGGCCTGGGAAAGGCATTGCCGACTTGATATTGGCCTCTGCACCATCAAGGACCCGCGGGTTTCCATCTGTTGCACATACGTCTGCACCCTCAAAAGCAAGAGCAATAGCCACGAGACCAGTTCCTGCCCCCAATTCTAAAACACGTTTGCCCTGCCACGCAAATTGCTGAGAATTACGTGCTACGAAGTCAGCTAGAACAATAGCTGCCTCCCAAAGCACTCCTCCCGTCCCAATTCGCTCTTGTTCTCGGCGCTGGTGCTGACGAATAACAATGTCGCGGCCAGAGTATCCAAATGGCAGGCGGATGGTCCGTGTTGGCAGAAGCACAGGCAAATGCTTCGCCAAAGCATGAGAAAACAGCACCACTTCGGTGTATGGGTTAGGGGGCGGTGGTGGATTGAAGTCTGAAAGGTCTCCGTGCCACTCTCCTCGACAATAAGGTTCCCCCAAAGCACGACTCTCGATTTCGGTTGCTGTACAAGAAATTTTGCCATGTGCATCCACTCGAACTGTTACCTCAAGCTGCAAGAAAGACCGATAAGATGGAATTGGCAAAGGCGCCAATTCCAACATGCCCAGAAAGCGATTGCCCTCACAAAAAGGTCGTTCGCCGACATAAAGCTCAACTCGTGCTGCTGCCTGATCGTCCTGCGTTGTTGTGAAGACTCTTCTGCCCTCTGCAGGAAGCTCGCAGCCTCGATCTAGCATCTGCTCGCATACCCCGTCTCGGGTTTTCACACGAATTGACAATATAAGGCTTTGCGGGCCTGGGCCTGGAGCTGGAATATTTTCTGGCGTCCCATCAGGTGGCAAGATGGCAAGAAGCTGTTCGGATGCATTCCACAAATCCTGTTCAGCACCGGCACACTGAAAGGCCATGAGACCGATCCAGACCACAGATCGATGCCAGCGCCCAGGTCCATTACACATACACTTCAACGCATGCTTTTCGTGTGGTACATAAGGCTCAACCCAATTGGATCGTCAACGATAGACTGATTATCTTACACTAACAAAAATCCATAAAGCAACATGTCGTTGTCACCAACACAGGACCGACCGGTCTTGACAACACCTGCGAACACGAAACCATGAATTTCAATCCCTAATCTCTGAGCTTTGAAGCCGTGAGCATGTGGGAATTACAAGCACTGAGAGCAAGGCCGGGATGATGAGGATAATTTAAGACATGTCGACCATCTGACAAGCATCGACAACACGCAGCTGCAATGCACAATGAGACACCGCGCACGAAATAGACTTGGAAGACGCTGGAACACAGGTGGGATGCTTCCTAGGAAGAACCAGTTTCTTATCCTCCACTTCTACCAAAGATAGCACCAGCTTTGGTGAATTCGACATTAGCAGTTTTGACACTGTTTTGCGTGTGGCTTCGAGGCTGGAGCACACAATCAAACTAAATGGCTCTGCTTGAAACCCAAGACATCCCAAGACTAACTGTCACAGATGTCTGGCTGAAAGCTTTCGATGCGCGGAAGACAGGAGCGCGAGAGAAATGTGAAAGCATTTCCAAGCCATTGCTGGAGCAGCAGATTGCGCCTGTGGTTCTACACACGCGTTGCAATTTTGGCCTTCACTACAATCACGGATCTTGAGACATGGTGTCGATCAGGCTTCAGCCCGGAAGAAAACCCATAAGAATCCTTCAACTCTGGAAGTTTCCTGGTCGCTATAGTTCAGAGATTTGAAACATAGACATAGCAGGTAGTTCAATTTAAAGAAGAGCCATTTGCAAGAAGGGCCACTTAAGGAAACACACCTGTTGAAGAGCCGTTTGATGAAGATCACGCTTGTGCGCCGACCAACGTGTGCCGCATCGGCCTGACTAAACTCGATTTCTATAGCACAACCTATTCCGAAACGCAAAACTCGGTTTGAGGCGAAGAAGAAACTCGAATTTCCAAAACTGCAATTCTTGAACACAGTGTTCTTCGAGCTTGGCGTTCAGCGTGTCACATTCAGTCCCTGATCCCTCTTTGGCATTGAGCTTGCTGAGGCAGTCAACAAACAACGAAGGCAAACCAAGTGATGGCAACTGCATGCTATTTCGGACACACTTGCGATGCCTGAACTGCCACTTTGTGCAGGTTTGGCAGTTGGCAAATTCCGCTTCATGGTTCGAGCAACGGCCTGGCGGCGCACTTCTTCGCCCGAGACACAACATGGAATCGCAAACTGCGCAGTGACGCGCTCTCGCCAGGGCTGGCAAGGCAAGAAGCCGGCGCCTGCTGCAGGTGCTACCCCGGACCTGGAACTGCTTGCTTGCCATACCCTAGACAGGCCGAGCGATCAGACTCGGTCCTGCTCCTCCCCTACAGCAAGACATCCCAGGAACTAGGATGAGGCCTCACGCCCCGGAATCTTAGAGTTGCACGCCGTAATGTCAGCCAGCTTTGCGCAGCACAGGGGGCCTCCAAAGCATAGGCAGGACTGCCCTGCGAGCATTCCCCGTAAACTACCTGCTTTTCGAAACGCTCCATGAGACCTCCTGTTGCGGGGCCTCATACATGACGATGTGTCTTGTCGATTTAAAATCTAAGGTGTCTTCGAAGCTTCAGCAGCAGAGCTTCCCAACAAAACGCGTTCATATGCAGTAGGGCGCAGATAAGACATGGCTTGCTGGTGCACGACGAGCAATCAGAAGCCGACGAGATCGAACCTGCAGCGGACCTGGAGGAAACGCCCCGCCAGCGAAGGAAGATGCCTCTGAATCAGCACTCTAACACAGGCAACTGAAGGCATGGCTCATTGACCATGGCTATGGTTTGGCCGCACATGCTCTCAGATTTTCTTGCTGCTGCTCCACTTGGAAGTATGTCGGACAACATCTGGCGCCTTCGGTGTCAATTGCCAGCGACCTCACACATACTGTTACATTGTATGTAATCGCCGGGATCACCCTCGTATGCTGGGGCAGTAAGCCTGGGTGCATTCGTCTGCCGAGACCGTTGGTCCAGGTGACCTGATGTCCCACGGTCATGTCCCCGGGCAGCTAAAATGACAGGCAGTCCCTCTGAAGGTGTGTGCACTTCTGCATGTCGCCTCCCTGAGGACGGCATGTTGAGCCCCAGGCCGACTCTGGAGACAATCGCTTTCCTGAACAAGGGCAACTTGCAGCACGTCGGCACGCCAGGTTTGTTTGTCAGGCTCCCCCCGGGGCCATACTCATCAATTACTTCTATGTGGCCCGCCCAAACACAGACCGATGCGTGGCTGACGGATTAAGGTGGGCGGCCGGTTTCCAAGAAAGCAAGCAGAAAGGATGTAAACCGGTGCTAACTTGCCAGACCTCAGTTCAAAACTGCTTCCACCTCCGAAGCATTCGGAAGCTCTTCGTAAGCTGCTTCTGGTTATTCTGAACACTTTCTGAACCATGTGCGGATCGTTGTGTGGAACCTTTGGGGCTCTGCAGCGATGGAACCTCGCGCTGCGAGCATCGTCTCCAGGAAATCACAACGAAAACCCTTGGCTCAAAGACAACCTGCTGGGCCGAGGGAACATCCGCTGGTGCTCTCCTGACCACAGACTGCACGAAGAGGTGGCCGCTGTAGACCTCTCGAACTCACTCGGGATCTCGAAACACCGTCAAGAGTGCACCTGGCCTGGATGACCTCGCAAGACCTGAGCCATAGCATGCCCAATCAACGATGATAAAACTTGTGTCGAGGTTTGGATACAACCGGCTTCAGGCCTCCATGGCCGTCTTGCCAGCACTCCGGAGCTGCAGGACCAAACTGCGGCAATAGCACCCTTTACTCTTTACCAACGCACTCCCTGCTTGTGTGACCTGAATAAAGCCAGTTGTCGAGCGGCCTTCATCTCGTTCTGGTCTATGTGACAACTGTTGTCAGTGTTGCACTCCTTCGGCTGGACAGACATCAGAGTCGGAGCATGTGCGAACTGCGCAAAAGTCCGTGAATGCATCAGAGGGACTTGACGACACTGATGCTGGATGTGCGAACAGCTCTGGCCTCAGAAGGAACAACGGCAGTGCCAGCCGTTGATGAAGGGGGACAAGGACCCCTGTCCTACTGTCAACTGGAGATGGGGACAAAAATCTTTCCCCTGATGCTCTCAGGATCTGACCCATGCTAACACACGATGTGTCTGGGTGAGTGTGAAGCTGGCTAGTCACCGCATGAAAATCTAGAGGAATTTACAGCCAAAGCTCTACGACTCTATGGCGTGCCGCCATTGCCGCCATGATGTACTCCGATGTACTCCGACATCCTCTGAAGCCTCCTGAAGCTGCGAGCACAGGACGAAGCCCGAAGTTGGACCGAAGCGTCGAAGGTCCCACAAGCAGTTTCACCCATTCTGCAAAAATCACGTCTACTCCTTTTCTAAAGATTGGAGCTGGGCGACCGAGTTGGAGATTGCGCTCGCCGCGCACTTAGTCGACTTGCTGCCATCGTTGTGGCTGCAGCTCCATGGAGACATCTGAAAATTTGAAGGGCTCAGCACTTGGCCCTTGCATTCCAAATCCATACGCGTTTCGACACGACTAAGGTGAGAAACGCAGCACATCTACACCTGCCCAGACTCTGCGCTTCAGCCCTGCATGCCTGCTGAAACATAGCTGGCTGCAATGTAAGCTGACTCGCTCTTTGAAAGCCACGAAGCTGGTGCGAACACCTTCAAAAATCACTGGGCAATGCCAAAAATAGCAGAGGTAGCCAAGGCGCAACAAAAGCCGGAGCATCAGTCGGATTACAACATTATTCACCACATTGTGTCTGAATTACCAATCAGGCTGTTACCCTGCCGGAAAACTCGGTTATCCCGGACTCTCCTGCGTCCACCCATGGGCCCTAAGCAGACCACCATTCACCGCCCACAAAATTCCTCAAAACGTGGAGTTTCTCGGCAACCCACATGTCTTCCGGTTTGGTGGTCTACTGTCATCTCGGCAAGTTCAAAAGCCGGTCTAAAGCCATCATGCTGCGGCTGGAGAAATCTGTGGGTGTTACAATGCGTTCTGTGCTAGGAGAAAGCATTCCGACACGTTGAGAACCGCATACAGCCAAATTGACTTTGACTTGCTAGTCACAACAAGCAATCGATTGATCACAGTTTGGCACAGCATTGCTGCACACTGCAAATTGACTGCAATGTAAAAAAAGATTCTATCTGCCAGCACACGCTGGCACAAGGGTCTGGTCTCTATTCAGACTCGGCCTCCGACTCGCTCTCAATTGCCTGCTGGCACTTGCTTGCGGTCAGGGACCATGACTGGGCTGCGGGGGAACAACCATCCCCAGACGTGCAGCCGTCCCTTTAGCCCAAAGGTCCTCGCAAAGCTGAGCAAGATCGCCATCACTCCACGAGCGGTGCATAGACACTTGAGGAATATCTTCGTCGATTCGGACGGCCTCTCACAGGTCTCACATGCGCAAAATGTTTCACTGGAAGCATCAAACGGTGGAAGCAGCATCTACGATCTACCTCCCTGCAGGTTCAGCTTTTTGTGTGGCTTTTGATGCAAGCTTTGGATAGCAGGGGCACGGGATGCGGAGACCGGGACCAGCCGCAATGACGTCTAGGTGCCTGCTGTAGCTCATGGCGTTTGGGAAGCAACTTCGGCACTCAAGATTTCCGTGGTCAGGCTTGAATCCAGGGACCCAGTTGGGCATCGGCAACAGCAACCTCCGGCAACTTACACTGCTGCCCGGTTCCTGCTCTGTGCTCTGTCCTTTAGTACCGGCCACACGTGTGTCGGCAGCGACACCACCAGCAATAATAGCGGGGATGATGACGGTGATGATGATGATGATGATGGCTCTTTTTCCCCAAAGAGCAGAAACTGAGCACCCGACGAATCAATGCACAAGGGTACACTGCACACAAATACGGACAAG